GATGGTCAATGCTTGATGGTCAGTGTTTGATAGTCAATGTTTGATAGTCAGTGTTTGATAGTCAATGTTTGATAGTCAATGTTTGATGGTAAATGCTTGATGGTCAGTGTTTGATAGTCAGTGTTTGCTAGTCAGTGTTTGATAGTCAATGTTTGATAGTCAATTTTTGATATTCAAAAATTGATAGTCAATGTTTGATTGTCAATGTTTGATAGTCAATGAACATTCAGTTTTTTCTCTAGTATAACTTATCATTATGTTATCTCCTGGTCAAACTTATCATTAAGTTATCTCCTGGTCAAACTTATCATTAAGTTATCTCCTGGTCAAACTTATCATTAAGTTATCCCCTGGTCAAACTTATCATTAAGTTAACTTGATAAGTTTGACCAGGAGATAACTTAATGATAAGTTTGACCAGGAGATAACTTAATGATAAGTTTGACCAGGAGATAACTTAATGTATTCAAACTGGTCCTCTATTGAATTACTATTCAAACTGGTGGAGATAACTTAATGATAAGTTTGACCAGGAGATAACTTAATGATAAGTTTGACCAGGAGATAACTTAATGATAAGTTTGACCAGGGGATAACTTAATGATAAGTTTGCCCAGGAGATAACTTAATGATAAGTTTGACCAGGAGATAACTTAATGATATGTTTGACCAGGAGATAACTTAATGATAAGTTTGACCAGGAGATAACTTAATGATAAGTTTGACCAGGGGATAACTTAATGATAAGTTTGACCAGGAGATAACTTAATGATAAGTTTGACCAGGAGATAACTTAATGATAAGTTTGACCAGGGGATAACTTAATGATACGTTTGACCAGGGGATAACTTAATGATAAGTTTGACCAGGAGATAACTTAATGATAAGTTTGACCAGGAGATAACTTAATGATAAGTTTGACCAGGAGATAACTTAATGATAAGTTTGACCAGGAGATAACATAATGATGATGTCGATCGGTGCGGTCCGCATCCCCCCCCACCCCCTAGCTACGCCATTGAGTGAACGTAATGATTTCATTTGTAAACTCTGCGTCCAGTGTATGTGTAAAACACTCGGTCGGTGGCTTCTCTTTAAAGTGCATTACTAATCTAGAACTCTCATTTCGCCTTAGTCTTAGTAAGAATACATGCTGTGTTGTCCATAGAGATATGACCTCCTCTCTACTCTAACGTTTCAAATATCGAAAGCGTGTCTGGATTTGGGGAGGAGGGGGCAGAGTATATTTTTCAAGGTCAATAATCATAAATAACATTTCACTTTAAAAAAAAAATGTGTGTATGTTTTTTTTAAAGCTTTACTGATAAAATCCACTACCACCCACCTTGAAGATTCCCAACGCCCCCCCCCCCTTTTTCAATCTACAGATCGTTTAACCCCCCCCCCTCGGGTCATCCCCCGACTAATATAAGAGCCACAGGGATAGAATTTGGAGGTACCTGGTATACAATAAAACACTAATCATAAGATCTAACATCCACTGTTAGAATGGTTGCCATACATTAGCTTACTCACTGACACAACCCTCTTTTCACGGGCCTAGGTAGAAGGGGTGGGTCAAGGACCACACCGGGCGTCCAAAACTATAGTACTCCACTGCATCTGCTGTTAGAATGTATGTAACATACTACCTCCTATCATACTACCTGCTATCATACTACCTCCTATCGTACTACCTCATATCATACTACCTCCTATCATACTGCCTCCTATCATACTACCTCCTATCGTACTACCTCCTATCGTACTACCTCCTATCATACTACCTCCTATCATACTACCTCCTATCGTACTACCTCCTATCATACTACCTCCTATCATACTACCTCCTATCGTACTACCTCCAATCATACTACCTTCTATCATACTACCTCCTAGCATACTACCTCCTATCATACTACCTTCTATCATACTACCTCCTAGCATACTACCTCCCATCATACTACCTCCTATCGTACTACCTCCTATCGTACTACCTCCTATCATACTACCTCCTATCTTACTACCTCCCATCATACTACCTCCCATCATACTACCTCCTATCGTACTACCTCCTATCATACTACCTCCCATCATACTACCTCCATCATACTACCTTCTATCATACTACCCCCTATCATACTACCTCCTATCATACTACCTCCTATCGTACTACCTACTATCGTACTACCTCCTATCATACTACCTCCTATCGTACTACCTCCTATCGTACTACCTCCTATCATACTACCTCCTATCATACTACCTCATATCGTACTACCTCCCATCGTACTACCTCCCATTGTACTACCTCCTATCATACTACCTCCTATCATACTACCTCCTATCATACTACCTCCATCATACTACCTTCTATCATACTACCTCCTATCATACTACCTCCTATCATACTACCTCCTATCATACTACCTCCTATCGTACTACCTCCTATCATACTACCTTCTATCATACTACCTCCTAGCATACTACCTCCCATCATACTACCTCCTATCGTACTACCTCCTATCGTACTACCTCCTATCATACTACCTTCTATCATACTACCTCCTAGCATACTACCTCCCATCATACTACCTCCTATAATACTACCTCCTATCATACTACCTCCTCACTGGAAAAAAATCTTCATATACGTTTGACGCACCACCTAACACAATTCACACGGGAAAAGACACATTTAAAAAAAAAAAAAAAAAAACCACAGTAACACACTGGAATTAACAGTTGCGCACACACACTAAATCTAACACACTCTTCTAATGAAGAACACAAATGGGGACATGTCGATTTGCTCCTCACCTAAAACATGCAACACACACCTCACCTGAAATTACCCACCACACATCCAGAAACGAACACACATCCAGAAACGAACACACTTCACCTGAACTTAACCACCACACATTCAGAAATTAACACACGAATACTTTGTGTTATGACATTGTAAACACACATCACGCAATAATCATCCCAGAGAATAAGTCTTCAGGTTTCTATTCTGCTTGTGTTTTCCGTTCCAATAATCACAAACACTCTCTCTTGGTGTCCTCACAACAACAGTGATATCGTGTGATTTAAGATTCCCCAGCACGGACCTCCTTTAAGAACTGGGGCACTACAGCAGGTATCACCACATAAGTCAACGGTAAGCGTCTTAGAGTGAGACAATCTAGGATACGCCCATTGCCAAAACTCTGGAAGCCCATCCAGTGCCATACACAACTAAAACCACAAGGCTACGCCCATAATAAGGTCGCCGAGCAGGCCGGCCCGTGATGTCCAAATTACATAGAGGGCACAGGCCTACCCTAGAGGGCAGGTTTCAGTTCCAATAAAATATGCGGATAGTTACAGCATGGCTGATCCTCAACCCTTGTAATGTATCACTGTCACATCAATGGGGGCAATATATCATTTGTTAGTGTTTAACTTTTTGGGGTATTATCACTGTCACCATTGGTGTTAAGTTTTAAACAGATCCGAGTCAAGCTTTCGTGTCATTTTTATCTCCACCGTGTCATTTTTATCTCCACCGAACTATTCGCAAATAAGATATGAATTTAAAAAACAAAAAAAAAAAAAAATTCTTAAAAGGAAAAAAAAGAAAAAAACCTAACAAAAATTATCAACTGAACATCACTGTCACCATTGGTGTTAAGTTTTAAAAAGATCCGAGTCAAGCTTTCGTGTCATTTTTATCTCCACCGTGTCATTTTTATCTCCACCGAACTATTCGAAAATAAGATATGAATTTAAAAAAAAAAAAAAAAAAAAAATTCTTAAAAGGAAAAAAAAGAAAAGAACCTAGCCAAAATTGTCAACTGAACGCCTCTTGTACCTTTACTCTGATCCCACATCCTTTTTTGTTTTACAGTGCATGATAACAGACATGCTAACAGTACATGCCAACAGTACTGGCGAACAGTACAGGCCAACAGTATCGGTTAAAAGTCCATGCTACCAGTACTGGCTACACCAATCCTCATAAAAACCACATGGTCCTCAGAATTGTACACCAGCTGATGCACTGCACCAAAACATGCTGCAAACCAATGGGGGGTGGGGGGGGGGGGGTGAGAGATCAGAGCAATTTTAGTTTCCCTTGTCAGCTCAGTAGCTGTAGATCCCAAATGTTTGCAAGACAAAAACATGTTCAAGTGTATGCAGGAGAAATTATAATGCTTTAGCAAATGTGAACATAATTATGTGGATAATGGTAAATACAGTTCAACTAGATACTTGTAAATAGTTTAAATAAGAAAACTATTTCGAAAAAATTGCTTTGCAACAGTGAAAACGGGGGAGGGGTGTGTAGAGAGAGTGGTAAAGTACATTAAAAAAAAAAGAGTGTAGTTATAATAATAAAATGACTATTGTTTTTGAAATTTTGTACATGGTTTTTGAGAGTTCCCGTAAAGGATTTTGACACTGTAAGTCTTGGATGTATTGGTATTCATAAAAATTACTTGACAAAACATGCATTCAAATTCAAGTAACTCACTTTATAAGTATCCCAATTAATGCTAACGTCCTTGAAATGCAGCCCACCAACATATGTTGAGAATAATTATTGTGATATAAATATATATACAATTGGTATTTAAGGAGAGTGTAATGTTTAATTTAAGACGATCAAATTCACATCAAATTTTCATTCATACATTTGATGGGAGTTTTGTATGAAGCCTTGTCACAACTTTCAAATAACTATTTGATCAACTTCTCATTTTTGTCCAAAAAAAGTAATTACACACAAAAGATTCAAATATGAAGCTAATTTGAAAGGAATTTGATCATGTGAACTGACCATTAGCCTTAACATAAAGCCTAATGTTCATTCCCAATATCAGGACGGACAATTTAATTTTATTTAGAGTAAATGTTAACTTTAAATATTATTACGCAAGCGAAAGAAAAAAAAATTTACTTAGTAATTCTGTGTGAATGAAAATGTTAAAAATGAATACAACAAATTCATTGTGATGGCATTCATTACTACATGTGTTTATTCTTGTAATCATTATACACACAAAAAAGGTATTCACAAATTATCACACAAGTCTGGATTTTGTTAAGCACCAGGTATGTACATAAGTCTCCCCTTGCTCAACTCTGACATTGTGCCACAGAAGCAAAGCTTGTCAGTATGACAAGGGCATATTCGCTCAGCAATGACGTTTGCCAACATGATGCCTACAGCTAAAACTATTTACAGTATCTGTAAGCTTTTACCAACAGGCGATAAAAATAGAGTCTAGGAATCACAACAAAGGTATCAATCTCGAACACTTATGAGGCTGGCTCAAGGGACATAATCCAGCAACATTCAATATTTTATAATAAGCATCTTAAATAACCCAAGTATTTTTTAAAATATTTTTTTATTATAGAAATAAATGAAAATGGACATTTATCATCACTCTGAAAGATGTCCGAGTGATGCAAGATTTGCTGACCACATCTGTCCAAATTTAGGTGTTGCTCCTTAAGAACATTACACTTGGATAAAGAAATAAGATGGAAGATAAAGATACAAGCCCAGGAACCCTGCAACAAACACTGTCCAACAATCCTGCTGTGATTGCCTGGAATATCATTGATAAAGGAGGAAGACATACGAATACATGAGGCAGATGACCATTTCTGAAATTTGCTGAAGGGAGTGAGTGGACCCAGGCAGTGCATCCAGTTCACATAGTGGGAGAGACTGCTGGAAATAAAAAGGCCAAAGGATTCTACTAATAGTGCCAGAACTGACAAATGTTTGCAGATTTTGGTACGTCATGTTTTCATAACTCTGCCTATACATTTAATTATTCAACGTTCATTTCTTAAAATCCGTTGTTTTATTTGTTTTTGTAAAATATCCAACAGAAGGTGCCCAATATTATCTTATTCTTTTGAATTAAATGATTTTAATTTTTGCAAACATGTTTATGCTAAGCATTTTATAAACTATTAAAAACATTAATTTCTGTGAGAAAATCATTGTAATATTTACAAGCATCTGCAAAAGTTTCACGACCATTCTTCTCTTTATAATTTAACCTTATTTTAAGGAAATCTAGAAAGAAAGAGGATTAATCAGAGTTTATAAAATTAAATATATTCTAAAGAAGGCACAACCAATTACATGTAAGAATATCTGTACCATGGGTCTACTTGGCTGACAAAAAAATATGAAAATTTTAAGCACAAATCTAACTGACAAATAATTGTTTGCTCTTTTTATATACTAGTTTACAGTGTTATTAAGTACATGATTAAAATAGCCTTTTTTTTTAATGGCAGCTTACTTTTAATTTAAAGTGATACTGAACCTGACTAGGGATCAATAAATAAGAAGAACCAACTGTAGTCAAAGGTATCGAGTTTTACAAATGATAGAATAAAATTTTTGTTTTGAACAAAAAATTATGATTATATCAATTCATGTGTTTTAGTTAGAATCTTTTGCACTTTTTGTCAGACAGGAGAACTTCAACACATTTTCTAATGGATTTTGGTGGCTGCATTATTAATCTAGATATAGCAGCAAAGTATGTTAAGCATTAGTGTTGCACATACATTTCAAAATTTTCAGTCACAGGGGACCAGTACATACAAAATTAAGACAGATCTTTACATGTCTGCATTGGGATTTCAAAATATTGGTGGATATAAGAAACAGGTGGCAAATGTAACATAATGTGAAGTAACTAAAATAAAAAAAAATAAATAAAAGCAAAGGGGTCAAATTAACAAAAGAAAACAAAGATGCTTGATGCAATGGATTGCTATATTTGGCAACAGTTTACAAAGCTGCATGAGCACCCAGAGGACAATGGCATATTTGAGTATGCTGCTTTCATCATTTTTTCTCTCTTCTCTTTTGAGTGTCAGAAAATAAAGCAACAGAGCTCATGACAAATGCTTTTATGAATTCAAAATCTTTGTTGAAAAAAGCAGATGATTTCTATTTAGTCAATGATTTAAAAAAAGATGGTTATATTTAGTTTGGGGGATAAAAAATAAGAGAAAAAAAAGTGGATAATTTAAAAAAAAAGACTTTTTTTCAATGATGGAGAGAAATAAAGTGTTTGTTGTTTTCAGAATAGAAAACACATAGAACACATTATGACATTATCATTAAAATGAACAGAACTAACAATGATGACAGCATCACGGTACTGAATTAGCTAATCAAAAGCAAATGTTTAAACAAATATTTTAGTTAAAATCTCTTATCTATTTAAATGAGACTTACTTAAAGGCTAGCAATTAAACCCCCTTTTTTTTGCCTGATAAAATAGAGATGCAGGATGGGATTAAGAATCAGTCGGAAAAATTCTCTGACTAGACATCATTAACTGAGGGTTGTTTTAACTTCTTAAAAAATATACAAATAAATATGAATTAGGATGGTGACCAGTGTTGATGTGCACACTTTCCTTTCTTTTCTCAATTTCTAGTTTAAATCAAAAGCTTTAAGTGGGAGAAAATGCTCAACTGGTCAATAAATTCAATGAAGATTGTGGCCAATTGTCAGACAAAACAAGTAAATCTCCATATGTCAATCTCAGATAGGCTCTCTGATTGCTGGGAATTTCTGTGCAGTCCATAAAAATAGCTTGTCTCTCTACATTTTTTTCCACTGAATTAAATCAGGCTTTTTTTTTTTTTTTAAAGGGTGATTTGTGAGTGGGTGTCTATGATTCACCAGAAGGGTAACTTATAAATGTCTTTAATAAAAGAGCTTCACTGGAACCACAGTGAGCAAACCTTTTCAGTTCTTTGCAGAAACAATAAGTGTTTTTTAAAAAAAAATACATTTTCTAATTGTGAAGCATAATTAACCCATGTGGGACTGTCACTTATCCCTTACCTGACTAGGTGTCTCAGAATATGTTTTTTGTATAGTAACTCAAAAACAATAACCTGTTTGCTGTGTACTTGGATCCTTATTTTTAAATATATTTTTTTCTTGCTGGTTGCAAGAAACATATAAGAAAATAAACAAAGTCTGCTTAATTTAATGTTGAACTATAGCCCTGATCAGCTTATAGCTTCGTTTCTTTAAATGTTCTCAATTCCTGATAGAAGTGCAGAGTCCATCTTCTGTTTTCACTGAAAAGATCAGAAGCTAGCTGTTGAAGCTAAGATTCCAAAGTAATAAAGCTTCTTCAGTTAGCTTCCAGCAGTTCAGGTGGGGTGGGCAGCAAGGAGGTGAAAAAGGTTTGAACCGTATTACAGAAGAAAATACATGCTCTAGTTAAGCGACTGCCCTCATCCTGAGGCTGCTCAGGTGCTTGTTGTTGCTGATCACTGTTTCCTGTTTCTGTTGGTGGGGTTTCTGCATTCTCCTATAGAAAAAATCAAGAGACTTCAAAAGTTGCATCAGCCACTTAAACTTGGCAAATTATTAAAATATAGAGATTATGTTTTTTAAAAAATGAAATAAGGAATAAAAATATTTCTTAATGTTGTCAGGGCAAATAGTACTTATAAAAGTACAGAAGCTAACCTCTGCTGCTGCATTGTCCCTTTCTTGATTTTGTTCCACCTGTGCTTCTGGTGGTGAAGGTGGTGGTATATTTTGTGCCTGTTGTTGATTGGGCTGCTGCTGCTGGTTTGGCTCCAGCTGGGTAGGCCGCTGTTGTTCCTGCTCTCTTTGGGCCCTTTGCATATATTTTCTGAACTTCTGAAGACTGTTCATTTGAGAATAAAAAATATAGTATTTTGTTAACAGCATCTAAATATACACCTTGTGGATTTTAGTTATCCGAATTAAGGAATAGGCACAAAATATAATCCAAGGAATTCAGCTATTTTATATTTCTTTTTCAACCCATAATTGTAGCTCAAAAATGTGTTTTTAACAGGTTTATGACACAGGGCTGTTAGATACAAAAAAAAAGCATTTGATTCAAAAGCCTTTTGAGGAGTCCAATTGCAAAACCTGCTAAGTCACTTTTTAAAAATACATGAGTTCTCCATTTTGGCTGGTTTATTAAGTGTCAATCTTCAGAATTTTGAGTATTCAATAATTTAAAAGCTTTATGAAAGTCTAAATTTCACCATAAAAAATATAAATGCTATATAAATTGATTTACAAAAAATCATTTTTTTTTCTCAAAATCAACAAGAAATTACTTAGCAGGTTTTGCAAATGAACTCATTTAATCCAGCTCAATCTCTCTAATACCCATCAAACTTGAAATAGACCCCATTATACATTCTTATTCTAAAAATGACATAAGTCTTTTTAAAGAAGAATAAAATAATGATTTTCATGACAGTACTTGATTCCTCATTCATAAAACTGGAAAGTCTATATTGCTAAACCTTTAGAAAAGTTGTAGATCCAGAATGATAGGATGAATTGGATGCACACAAAAAACATAGGCGCTGGGCATGGATAGTTAAAGTAGCAGATTAAATAATCCAATTGTCTATGATATATAACTATTTATTTTCAAAAGCAACAAGACGAAATATGAGGTTAGAGGACTTTACAGACAAGAAAAGGGGCAATGTTATTTTATTGACAGGAAAAATACCTTTTTTGTAAAGTAAACTGATGCCTAACTTCACTGAATCTTAATTTTTAGTTAAATATTTACTTTTTGTTTTGCATCAATGGCACATTCAAAATTTGAATAACTTAAATGTTATCTTAGAAACTAATAACAAACCCCCATTGAATGCCATCTGAAAAAATTATTCCCAAATAAAACACACAACAGGGGCTAAAACATAGAATCTGAAAGTTATGAAGTAATTACTCACATGAATATTGCTAAAGATCCACTGAACACAATGAGAAATCTTGTCAGGTTTGAGTAGAAGAAGAGGATGCCCATAAAGGTGAGAAAGCGCATCACAAAGTAAGAATGGTGAAGCCAGTCTCTGGGTTCTTCATCATCTTCATCTTCCTCCTCAATCCCACCCTGGGCATTCATGCGAACATTTGGCCTGGCATTGGGACCAGCCACTCCGTTGTTGATAGGAGCTGCTGCCTGGGGCTGAGGCTGCTGAAATGTGGCACCAAGATTGACCGGCTGCTGTACAAACGGTGAGTTAGAAAGTTGTGGGTTCATACTGTAGTAAAGAGTTTGATAGCTGTGAAGGAGAATTTTTAAAAAGATTGTTAAAACTGCTAAGGGATATTATTGAAAAAGTTAATTAACTCAGTAGTTAACTGGATGACAAATCAAAACAGAATGCACTTCAAAAATTTCATTAAACTTCTTGTAAATAAATTGGCAAATAAAGAGATTGAGCATTATTTGGCCCAGAATTAACTCTTTGTCTACTATTGTATTTCAAAATTGCTTATGAAGACAGGTAATAAGTCTTCATTTTAATGAATTATATTGCACTTAAATATTAATATTAAACTGCTACTTTAGTGCCAGAGATGGGTTAAATAGATTAAGTATTTAAGACAGAAGTGGGAAATATTTTTCAACTCAGTAATAAATAATATGTTTCACATGTATATTTTATACTTCAGTTCTTGCATTTCTTTTTCCTTAATTATCAAATTAAGTCATTATGGCTATTATTTTCAACTGTTATTAGTAATTTGATAGTTAGCACTAGACATTTATCATACATTGGAATCTATAATAGTCCAAATGCAAACAAAAAGTTGTGAATAGTTAAGTGTATTTTATAGTTTCTCAAGTAACAAAAATACTCACTATTGCATGTACTGCATCATATATTGTGAGTACATTTGTTGTTGCATCATCCATGCATACTGCTCTGGTGTTAGGGAATATTCAGGGTATGTGTCACCAGCACTGACATTAGGTTGGGTCATTGTGTAAGTACTTTCTGATCTGTGGATGCAAAAATTTACAGTTATTTTTTTGTTAATGATGCTTCACTATCAATTTAACTCCAGACAGCAAAAATTTTTCAGACATATCAGAGGAAGGGTTCAACTTAAATACTAGCTAATAGCTTAAAAATAGTATTTATTATATATGGATATATCCATTATATAATTGATAAGTTAAACTAATTAATGAAATAAACTTGCTCTATTTCTCCACAGTTGAATTTGTGAAACTAACCTTAATAGCCAAAGTCTTAAAATGCATACATATTTCTCTGCCAATGGCCAAAATGGGTCCGATAGATGTGTCACTATTTACTCACCCTGAAGTTGCACCTGCTGTGTGTGATGAACCTCTGTATCTTAAACCTTCACCTTGGCTATTGGTAGGTGCTGTCACTGGTCTATTTAACGCTGTTGAGCTAGATGGTGTTGCTTGAGCTTGCTGTGAAAATAGAGTAGTTCACATTGTGGAGTTCAAATCTAGTAGTTCATATAGGAGAACTGTTTCAATTTGTTTTCACCAAACTATTCAAGCAGAATAGAATCCTACAAATCAAAGATATGCCTGGATACCAAATATATGCCTATATACCTTTCCAAAAAACTGAAATTCATGTTCTAAAATTGGAAATTCTGAAAGATGAAAGAAAAAATATATATACCTTATGAAATGAACAACTCCTGGTTTTTAAATAAATAATTAATTTCATTGTTTCACTGACTAGTAAATAATTTTATTGTTTTTTTTTTAGTGATCCAAAGAACTTTTTCTAATAAATATTTATAAAAATTTTGAAAGATGACTTGATTTTGGATGCTTCATTTTTTTTCAAATTAATTTATACCCTGGTAAATTGACTACACACCCATTTTATGTTGAAAAACATTGTATGGTTAGTATTTAAAATTTTGGTGATTTCAAACGTTGGACAATTAAAGTTTTTAAGAAAATAACATGTTGCCTTAGTAAGTTATCACATACAAAAAGACTTAGATCTTTATATTATTTTGTTCAAACTTTAAAACACTTTTAAAAAACACTATTATAACTATATTTTATGTTATTCAAATAACACTTTTCACACTATTGCTAAGTAAAAACATTAAGATCGACCTATATACACAATTTTTGATGTGTCTTTGTCATATAATGAATTTAAAGCAATGGACTAATCAGCTAGACCAGGGGTCTCCAAAATTTTCAGCCCCCAGGGCCGCATTAACTATCAAACAGCAGTTCGGGGGCCGACTACATCCTCGAGGTCCAAATTTTAAAAAATAAAAACATGGATGTTGTTTTAAATTATTTATTTATTATTATTTAATTCAGCTATTATTTAATAACACATTAGTACACTGCACTATAACACCTGTATTAGTTGGAATGGTGACATTTTTTCCTGGATGCCAAAAAAGCAGACATTTCTGGCTTTAGATTTGATGTCCCTAACATCAACAATGACCTGAGATTATCATCTGACAAGTTTGTTCTCTAAGGAGGTTTTTTGCTTGCAACTCAATGACCTCCAGCTGCAGTTCATCTGGACAACTGGCCACATCTGCTTCAAATGGGTTGCTGGTAAATAATACAGTGCAGGAACATTAGTTGTAGAATGTTTTTCTCATTACACATCTGCTTCACTTGTCCAACCAAGCCTTTCTTTATGCCACTCGTGTTCTTTCCTCCATCAATAGTCAGGCAACTGAGGTTAGTCCAGTCCAAATATATATACAGCAACTATTTTTTTCAACTCATTGATTATATCCTCTCCGGTAACAGTGTCATACATGCTATGTAGGAAAACCAGCTCTTGTGTTATGTTCATGTCTTCATCCACACCTCTAATGAACACAAGCAGTTGAGAGGTGGAACAGCTGTCCAGCGATTCATCCATTGCAATTGAAAAATGGCGAAAATTGCTTGCATTTTTCGCTTTTTGAGTCATAATGTTTTCACCCATGTCTATATCACGGCGGGCAATGGTACTTGCACCCAAAGCTACATTTTCAAATTGTTTTAACTGTTCTGGGCAAAGTTCCTCAGCCACCACCAACAAATATTCCTTCACTACTTCACCATCTGTAATCAGTTTGCCAATTTTAGCCAGGACATAGGCAACTGGCCTCAGTTAAGGATTCATTTTCATTTGAGGATTTATGAACAATGTCCTCTGAGATGTGAGTTGATTTTATAAATTAGAAAATTTTTCAGCACAGACTTAACCCTTCAGCTGTGCATATTTCTCCTGATGTTTGCTTTGATGGCGCAGGCTGTATTCTTTCATCACAGCCACAGTTTAGTTGCAAATCACACACAATGCTTTCTCACCGGATTTGATGAAGAAGTATTTTAAACTCCATTCTTCTTGAAATTGCCTACACTCATCGTCTATTTTTCTTTTCCTCTTCTCTGCCATTGCAGGGCACTAAGTTAAAGTGAATTCAACATGAATAAATAGTGAATCTGAAAGTATCTTTCACACAATATCGCTCCAAAAACATGTTTATGCAAACTAATTTTGTCACAATTGTAGCTGCAAATGATCCGAAACAATTTTTAAAAAATTCTTATGAAATTCTTAGGATAAACTTACCTGAATATAGTGTGCAAATATATCCACTTATGGTAGAGAGATTGTTGCTTTTAATGTTTCCTCTTCAGAATATTCAATTTTTTGTTTACTAATATAACGACATTCCAATACTTTAAACACACTGATAAGTAATTACGCGAAGGAAATTATCACAAAATAAAATAGAGTGCAACATGTTTCGCAATCAGACGCTAACTGACACCAACACCTCATTGCAGCAGTCAACCGCAGCTGGCAAACTTTGATCAAAATAATCAAGTCTTGAACAAGCAGCAAACTACTTAAAAATTCCACCACTACATAGCATTACATCATCTTATTGACTGTGAACAGAAGTAGAAGAACTAAGCAGCGATCACGGTTTTGCTATGTAGTGATTGGTTGGAAAACATAACGTACTACTGCACGCCTCTATTTTTTATCTTGGCGGGATACACGTAAAATTCCCGTAATTTGTTTACATAGACAAAAAGTTCTCCACGGGCCAGATGAGAGGGCATCCCGGGCCGATCGTGGGCCGCATTTGGCCCGCAGTTTGGAGACCACTGAGCTAGACAATAAAGTTGAAAGGGGGTAGATTAAAAGCTTGGTCTCATTGCATTTTTTCTAAAACTAGCTATAACAAATTTGTATATTTTTTACATCTCTAGCAAAAATAAAAAATCTAAGACAAAAAAACTATTAAAGAAAATGGTTTAATTTTAGCCACTCCCATGTCAACAAAATAAATTTAGCCTAAATGATCTCCCGATTCCCCCCAATGAGTTCCCTGTCACATGTGTCCTCAAGTTTAGTCTACTTGTGGCACAAATCTACACACACACAAATCAATGCCTTGGGAGTTAATGTGCCTAATATATATATATATATATATATATATATATATATATATATATATTGCATGACGCAATAAGAGCTTCAAATAACGTTGTTCATAAAAAAAAATATTTCTTGTGTTCGCCCCACTCTCACCATTATAGATTATAGAGAAAAAATATACTGGTGACAAAAATCTACACACACACACATAAATCACTTGTGAGTTATTGTGACTAATATATATATATATATATATATATATATATATATATATATATATTGCATGACGCAATAAGAGCTTCAAGTAACGTTGTTCATAAAACAAAGTATTCCTGGTGTTAGCCCCACTCTCACCATTATGGATTATTGAGAAAAACGTGTAAACATCTGTTGCATACTTGACACCCTTACTTAATCAATAGAAATAAGATCTAAGTGATATAAGCTGGAGAAATCTCTTCACTCAATTTTATCAGTCCACTTAAATATTTCATACGAAAAACATAAATGACATTGACATTAATAAAATCAACATTAAAAAAAACACCAAAAAAATGACACTTGACAAGTATATAATGCTGTTTCAAATATGATTTTGTATTCATGTCTTTAAAATCAAATAGAAACTCTTATACTTGATTTTTAACCAAAATACTGATTTTCAAGTGAATACAATGGAATTATTGTTCACTCATGTGCAACTTGACTCTGCTAACATAAAGAAATCCTTCAAAGTATGAATTTATAAATGTTTATCAAAACATAGATGCTATTATTCTTTTATCCTTACAGACCAAATAATAAATGATTGGACTTACCACTTTATCAGAAGAACTTTGAGATGAAGGGGTATTGCTGTTTGATAAATCAGAGCTGCTGGAACACACTAAATGAACAGTATGGTTATTGCTGGGGAGTTCTGAGCCATCATACTGAAAATAAAGATCATTATTATAGATATGGTAACTAAATAGGAAGTGGATCATACCTTAAGCTTCATGTTAGTCTTGCCTAAAGAACATATGCAATAGCATTTTGTATAGAAATATTTTAGAATAAATGGCTGGGAATTTTAAAGAAATAATATATCCAAAATTAAAATATAGGAAAGAATAATAATCGTATGGTTAGCTTTATATTTGTTCAAAATTAAATCAGGATATTTACACGAGTTAAACCAATTCTTTCATTAGTTTTATCCATGTCTATATCCATGAAGTTAATAAAAAAAAAAGTTCATATTTTAAAAATAACCTTCAATTATAGAATTGAAATTGCTAATACCTGACGCAAGATTTCTTTCAACGTAAGATGATCCTGCAGTAAGCGCCCTGAATAAATCAGACGTTGCTCGTTGTGTTTCTGTAACATCAAATAAAAAAACTTGAATTAGGTTTTTCAAGTTTCCACATCTGCTTATCTTTCTGACCATTGATATATTATTATTATACTGCCTTGCTAAGTAAACAAATAATGTTTTTTGGAAAAGAAAATTAATTTAGATATATTAAAATATATTTCTTATCTTACCAATAGAACCATATCAAATGCTCCTCTGAGTTACTCTTTTTTAATACCCTTGACACTATTAATATTATGTTAACACTTGTAAAATTGAGCCCCAAAAATCTTCTATAGCGCTGTTTATTACAAAATAAAAGGAACTTAACACATTTACTATTATTGAGACCAAATGCACATAATTTAAATTACATTACAGTGGGACATACATTTTAAGTCTGTCCTTATCAATATATCAAAATCTTCTTACTGGTTTGCTAGGATACACAGTCTCTAAATGCTTTTTCAGTTTCTTTATGGTCCATCCTAGCATACAGTCAACAGTTTGATCTTCCATGCGCTGATTTGGGGCTTTGATCGTGAGCGTCACAGGCATATCACCAGGAAGTTCCATTGTTTTTCCAACTTCACTTTTACAGCAATTTGAAGTTACAAAGAGAACTAAATTCTTCAAAGCTGGATTAAATGTGGAAAGTTCTCTTGCTGCACAAAGGTTTTAAGGTTGTAAAAAGATCTTGTGATTCTACAATTTAAAAAAAAGGAGTAATCAATCAATTAAGTTTAAGAGTAGAGTTACGACAATGTTATGATGATAATTTGATTCGAAACCCTTAGCTTAGGCACGGCCATTCTCTCTGGGGTTTAATTAAGGTTAATTCAAACATTTAGGTCTTTTTATCAATATGATTTACTTAAGAGTTTATGTCTATGAATGCCAGTTTAAACACTAAAGGGCCTACACTTGGTTAAATGATTGCATGATTAACAGATTATGATTGGCTGTTGAGAAAGAATTTATTTGAAACTTACTCTTGACTTTTTAAACTTGCAAAGGGCAATTAAATGGTCAAAGCCATGGCAAAAGTTAAAATTTTCAAGTCTTGTTGGTTGAGAGAAGTATGATACTCAAACCATAAGCTATGAATAAGGATAATCATGACTATAGTCTAAACCAGTGGTTTTCAAATTTTTTCCTGCCACCGGCCCCCTGGGGTCATAAACTCTTCCTCTTGCCTTTTCCCATTATAGTCTCATAAAAAATGTTGCCAGCCCTCAAATGAAAAGACATTAGCTTTTTAAATTTGGAATATTACTTGGCAATAATTCTGGGGGGGATGTCACTTTTTTTTTTATTGGTAATCAAGTTTGGATGCTTAGGGTGTGCTTCATAAAGTAATATAATTTTTTAGCAAAAACTTCTTTGACAATGTTTATATTTATATGTTGTTTCTTTGAGCTAATCTGGATGGCAACATTAAAACCATATTACATCAAATACTGTGTTGAGAATGCAATGAAATTTATTAACCACCTTCTGAAGTGCAGAATATAATAGAAAATATCCTACTTCATCTATTTTTTTAAACTGTGGCTAACACTCAATATCTTTTTTTTTGTGTTGAATAAGCTCCTTCTCTACTTCACCAACTGCATCAATCACAAAAAGGGATCCATCAAAAGAAAATACAAAAATTGCTCAGAAAATTTTGCCTAGCATATAAAAATGGTCGCAAAATGCTACCATCTATGCATCTCAATTTTCCCTTCCTGCTCAGAAGGGCTTGAAAATAAGTATAACGGAATATGTCCCTGTCATAGGCTTAAATGAAGTTGATTTTGATACTAAATAAAGGAGACTTAGTTTTAAAAAGATTAATCTCATTCTTCTGAAACAGCAAAATCATTTTCATTTAATCTAGGAAAAAATTCTAATATAAAAACTATGTCTTGTGTGATGTCTTTGGAGTCAGCACCAAGAAAGGCATTGTGGACACCTCCTCCCCACTCCATGGCATTACCAGTACAATAAGATTTATTGTTTTGAAAATCAACTCATCTAATTGTAAATGAATGCTTTGGTATCCTATGCAACTTATTTTCCATGTTTGCAGTTTGTTTTTTAAGAAGTTAGACCATATAAATAGCTGTTAAGACGATTGTTTATGAATTTCCACTATTTAGCAATAAGCTATGTAAGGGTATGTTGATGTTTTCATGAGGAGCTTTTAAAACATACTTGACAGTCTTCAGGTTATTTGTAGGGGGCCGTCCATAAAATACGTCACGCTCTAGAGGGGGGAGGGGTGTAAGAAAGTGTGACAGTTTGTGACAGGGGGGAGGAAAAGGGGGGGGGGGGGGGGGGGGAAGTGGTTTGGGCAAATTTTTTTTTTTTTTTTTTCTTTTTTATTTTTTTTTTTTTTTTTTGTAGTAGAATTGAATAGCTTTAAAAATAATTTTCAAAAATTTTGTGAAACATTTGAATTAGTTTTATGTCAAAATAGCATGAAATGTGTATCTCTTAATGTGTTGTTCACGATTCCTCTCGCTAGGAGCGCTAGTATGCTGTTACCAAGCCTTGTTTTATGTATAGCCTTGCTTTCGTCATGCCTAAAGTATTATTATTTCTATGTTGTCCGCTGAATAATTATGTCACTGTTCTTTTTATTATTATATCACTGGGCGAGGTCAAGTTTCGCTAATCTACTTCTGATCCCGTGTAAAAAGATTGGATAATCGGAAAATTGTCTGAATCTTGACCTCACCTATTGTAAATGAAAAAGCAGCAGATAAATGATGTGTATTATATAATTGTCTAGTCTAATTTTCGCAATTTTAGTTTTCAAATTCAATCTAGCTTGAGTTACTGCTTCAATGAATACCTGTAAAAACTGTTGACAATTAACTATTCTACTATTTAAGTCATTTTAATAATATGTTCTTTTAAGTGGAAATGTTATATTTTAATACAGTTTAAAAGTGAAGTGTTTTTTTAGATTAAATTTTAATTAGGTGTAATTTTTTTATTTTTTTTTAAATTGTTTGAAAGTGTGACGTACTTGGGGGGGGGGTGTGTGTCTCTGAGATTTGTGACAGTTTGTGACAAGGGGGGAGGGGGGGGGGAAAAATGGTCAAAAAATAAATTGTTTGAAAGTGTGACGTACTTGGGGGGGGGGTGTGTGTCTCTGAGATTTGTGACAGTTTGTGACAAGGGGGGAGGGGGGGGGTAAAAATGGTCAAAAATAGCGTGACATACTTTATGGACAGCCCCTAGAGTCAATTTAATAATAGAAAACATTGTCAGCCATGCTACCACTAAGTATCATTAATTTTAGAAGATGTTACATCTTCTTAAAAGTTAGGTCAAGTATCTTGTCTTTGTGGACTGTGGGAAAAAAAAAAGTAAATAATCTAAATCCTGAATTTTCTTTGAATCCGACATGTCATTCATAGCAGTAAATATAATGTTATATATATCATATATCTTTAAAACGCATAATATAATTTAAAAATGTATCATCTGATATGATTCTCCAGCGTCCCGCTGATTTGAGAGTCCCGCTGATACTTAAATCTCCAGTCTGTCAGTTCCCCCTGAGCATACCCACCGCTCACTTGCCCCTAGGGGGTGATAATGTCCACTTTGAGAACCACTGGTCTATATAGTTTACTAACTAAACCTCAGGCTACCAACCAACCCTTTCTATTTATTTAAATTTATTGATTTGCTAGCACCTACACAAAAATCTAAATAGGGGCCAACCAAACTTAGAATAAATAACAGTAACCGCCCTCACGACTAATAAAATTAATAAATCATATTCATTATCAGTTCAGTAGGCTAAGCCTGCAAAATACAGTAAAATTAAAATAGAAAGACTAATTTTTAATAATATAAAGAGTAAATTGTATTTGTAGTATTTAAAAAAGTGGATAGGCCAAGGGTAAAAGTCTAAGAATAAGACAGAAGTCGGCAAACAGCCCTTCTAAAGTAAATAATTAGAAATCGCCAAAATAATAAAATTAAGCTAGCAAAATTTAATTAATTTAGTAGCTATACCTTAACTTATAAGTATAGTGTAAGTTAAGTATAGGTCTAGCTAGGCAGTAGAGTCTAGGCTAGGCTAGAATATAGTTAATATAATATAATCATATATGGGTAGAAGTAGGCGTAGGCCTCTTCATTGTTTCAAAGTGGGCTGAGTTCCTAATCATAATCATCTTAAAAAGTCTAAAATGTATACCTTTTTTATTCTTAATATACTTAATAATTTGTAACTTGTAACTTAAGAGTTTGGCTTAGGAGTTGCGTAGGGTACGTGGACCGGGTACGTAATTAACGTCGTTAATAAAGTTTAAAGTAAAAGTTAAGGCAAGACTACCATGAAACTACTACAAAACGAAAAATGTGTATGATGAATGTCCTTAGGCATCGAATTAAAGTGTTTACAACACAGCAAGCTATTGGATACAGCGGAAGTCTTTATAAAATTTTAAAAATAATCCATGCAACATAAATCCTTTTTTACTAGAACTCCACTGCTGGCCATTTTGGTCATGAAATAACAACACTAATATGACGTCATAATATAAACATACTAGGCGACCGTTGATTGGTTAGTTGTTTATTTTAACACGTCTGCTGAAAGCCGTATCTAGGTCAGAAGTGGTTTTGAGTATTGATTTAATCAGACACAAGTTTAAATTCTGATTTAATTTTTTATACTTATATTAACTCTTAAGCTAAAATAATATGCAAACATTTTAAGTTTTTACCAGATAGATAATTAATTAGTTAGTTTAGTCCAATATTTGGTCATCAAATTAGAACGTTAATGTATCATCCTATCGAAACTGGCGAAAGGGAAGTAATTAAGAGTGAGAAAAGATAACTCAAATTGCATTTTCACATTCCTACTGTATTTAATATAAATATTATAGGTGCTTACCCTACTGTCCAAAACAACCAAAAATAAATTTATATTTATATATGATAGACCTTGAAGTGTTTTAATGTAGTTCCGTCAGGTAAATAGGGCGTTTTTTAAATTTTTTATTTCATTAAATAGTATATTATTAATGCTCTAAAATTAGAGATTATTATAATTATATCAGCCTTTAACTTTACTCAGTTTTTAGCCCTAGTGGGCCCCTAGCCTTTACTTTAGTAGTCTTTAGCCTTGGCCTTGGCAGACTAATAAAATTAATAGATCATATTAATTAATTATTTCATAATCTTGACTAAACATTTCATAATTTAGCAGACATGGGCATATAAATATCCCAAATCAACAAGGTGAATCCCTGGCCCTGATTGATACCTCTTAACTTAAGATTATTTATAATTATAAATAAATTTTAAAAAGGAAGCGTTATTTGCAGATATCTGCGAAAAATGTTGAGTGTTATTCGCAGATATCTGTGAATAATGTTGAACATTATTCGCAGATATCTGCGAATAATGTTGAGCGTTATCGACAGACCGAAATCTTCGTGAATAATGCAGAGCGTTATTTGCAGAAAGAAATTTTCCCATTATTACGCAAATCTCTAGAAATACTTAGGATCACACTCCTTACGGGGGGGGGGGGGGGGGGGGGTTAAGTAGTGTAGGATATATGGATCTTTGAGTATGAGTAAAATTTAATAGGCCTAACTATAGCCTATATATTGGATATAGGACAATTAATTGTGCCTACATCTGCTCTGCTAGGGGTCAACATAGGGTCTATTCGACCTATAGAGTGTTACTAATATATCCAGTCAAACCTCCTACTCCTAGACTAGACATAACTAATTTTCTGGTATTTCATATTAAAAGTTATACCAGTAGTAAAAATGGTGCCGGTATTCTTCATGTAGACTCACTTTCACCCACTTTAGAGAGGTCTTAAAATGATGTCAAAGCTTGATAGCTTATCATTTAGTTTCTTAAAGCACTATGATATATCACCTAGTCCAGAAATGTTCTGTCAGAAATAGTTGACATGCCGTGCAACAGTGTTATGATGAAGAGAGGTGGCTGCCTCAGGCGGCCATGTGAGAGACGGGGAGGAGCATATAGACCCTACATCGATAATAACAGAATCTAATCTTGTTTAAGTTTAAGGCTAGTATTTTTTCCTCATCCTTGAGGTTGTCCCTAAGTCTACCCAGCTCTGGCCTTAGCTGGGAATAGTAAAGGTGGCTGGTTATTGCGCTGGCCGTGCACTCAAACTTGTAAACGCTGCTTCAATTGCCCCAAGGGAACTTTACTTCCCCAAGACTCGAAATGCATCCAGCAGGGTTCCAATTAATTTTCTTATGCTTTTTTTTATATTTAGACCCATAGTTACAACAGTGGCAGTATGGCTTTTTGTTTCAATTATCAACATTTTTTTTAAAAGAGCTAAAATTGTTGATATGTTTTAAGTACAGTACCGGTATGTTCATTTCATTTTCATCACTAAGGGTTATTTCAACTATTTCTGGAGCCGCATATTGTGTCCATACTTATTATGATACTCATTAGAAACTAAAATTAAACAAATAAAACGTGACATATTTTTTTATCTAAACATTAATACACAACTCTGAGGTATAAAATATTTGAATAAGTAAGTTATTAATATTTATTTGTTTGTTAGAGATGGATGTTAAAGTCTATGAATGGAATTATACAAAGAAAATTTAAACAGTCAAAGGAGCTTAAAGTATATCACAATGTATAGAGTTACCCGGCTTAAACATGGTTTTCGGCTCATCTGCATGTACATGTTGTTTACAGTTTTTTGACGAAACTTGAATCATGAATGAACATTCTAACAAAATAGATTGAAACTAGAATTTTGAATACCTACGTTGTTGGACAGAATGAAAAGTATAATAAAATTGTATAAATAAAAATTATAATAAAACTATATGAAAATAATGATAATAATAGTAAAACTATGTGAACAGAATAATAAAGCTATATGAAGAGTATAATTATAATATAACAATACGAAATAACCTTTAAATATTTTTTTAAAAAATATTTATTTGTAAAAAGTAGCATCCCACGGGGAATCGAACCCAGTTCTTCTGGGTGACAGCCGGAGATACTTACCACTATAGTACCCAGGAGATGCCTGCAAGCGAACTTTGTATTTTATATTCATAGTTTAATTTATCACATTCTGCGAATAATGCCGAGCGTTATCGGCAGACAGAAATCTGCGAATAACGGCCAGCATTATCTGCACAGCTCTGTGAATAATCACTTCGATTTTAAAATCATATGCGGCGGCCTACACAACACAAAAATATTTGTATGGATATTTTAATATAATAAAAATGTGCCATAGTACCAATAATAAATTTATAAGATGGCTTTTTTTTACCACATTGTCTTCACTGCCCACACTGCACAGAAGGTGGATGCAGCAGCTTGTAGCTATCCCACTCCTTCAAGCCTCAAGCAGTTGAAAGTGAGACCATCAGTGTGAGGAAAGCAAATGTCGGAGGGAAAGAATCAAAGTCCCCTCTAAACATTATTATTAAATATTGAGGATTTTAACCTTACAGAAAGTGGTTGAAAACTTAACATACCTTGGACTTGCATCTAATATCTCTAGCTCACCATTCATTAGGTGAACATCATCAGGATTGCAAAACCAGCAGCAGCTATGGCCAAATTAAACAAGAAAATGAGCGTAACAAATTGTGGGAATACCAGGGAAATAAAAAAAAAGGATGCAACAAATCAATGAAGGTGTCGGCAAGAAGCCTTTTTCAGCAAACAAACAACAATAAAAACAATAATATAATTAAAATAAACAACTGCAATGTAGTATTTGAGAGGATGGCAAGAGGAATGCAGTCTCTCTTCTTATTACCAAATGAAACAAGGGATGTGGAACAACATGGAAAGGACAAAATTGAGCATCTACTGGGCATATATGCTATGCTAAGAGGTCTTACTTAAGATGTATGTGACAGTCAATGACAAAACAAAATGCCTAAACAATGCAGAGGTTCAGGAATGTGCAAAATGTGCAGCATGCTCTCTACATTAAATAAGAAGAACCTTTGCTGGTTTTGCATTGTAACAATAATTGAGGCAGATCGTAATCCAAAGAACCTGCTAAATGGAGAAGAGGCAAACGTATTGAAGGGCTGTTAATATCAAAATTAACCAATGGGAAAGTATTGCTGATGACTTTGGACATCTGACAGGCAGGGAATGTGCAAAATAATGTTCTTGTAGCAAAAAAGAGCAATACAGAAGACAAAAGTAAAATTTGCATTCAAGATTCTCTTGCAAGGAGTACAACCAAAACTGACACTCTAGGATTGGCTTCATAAGCTACCTCAGTATGTGCAAATAAGACAGAAACAACACAGTATCAAAAAGTCAAAAGGAAGCAAAGAATATCACTATAAATGATAGTTCATCAGTCAAAAGTTGACCATGACCATTCAACTGTCCTGTTGCTGAATCTGTCTGTGGGTGCAGAGATGGCTGATTGGGCCATTTCTGGCACAAAAAGTTGTAATGCAGAAGGTGCAAGGGAAGGATGGGGCAAATCCAGGTGCAGAGTTAACTCTGGCTTTTCTGGCTTGTTTTGTGTTCTGTCAGCCTCTTGTTGCATTGAACCCTTGTGGATTGAAGTGTGCCAAGAGTCTTGATTCTTTTATGTTGTATGTATAGAACTAATCCTAGCAAGTTAGTGACTTAAGAAGTTGTCATAGGCTTCTGAGGAGCTGTAATCCAAGTTGTGGAAAGACCAGGATAAAAATATTATATTTTTTTATACTGGATTTACAATTTAACAATCATTAATTTATTTCTTATTAAATTATATTTTCTTATTCTGGTGTAACATAATCATTTTTTTTATGCTTCACAGCTAAATCAAAATGCTGTAATAAATTATACTGATAGATACACTTTTGACTTTTAAAATTCAACTATGGGAAAAACAAACAAGATTCTCTTATGTGGATGCTCAGGAGTAGGTAAAACTGCCATTCTTGAGCAACTTCTATATGGAAATCACATTGTTGAGTCTGTAAGTTGAATTAATGATTGACTTAAACATGAAATTGTTGCTGATATCTATCTTGTAGTATTATAGTCACATATAAATCATCACTATTTCAACTGAGAATCCTCTGTTATTCTGTTCATTTAATACTGAAAAATTACTTCATTTGTATTTGCAAGTAACTATGCTAAGTTGCAAGGATATAATTATAAGCAAATTATATTTCTGGTAATTGTTCTGAGCATAATGCTCAGTCCATTAATAAGTTAGTTGCTTATATGACCATCATAATTAAAAAATAATATTAAGTTGAAATGTTGAATAAGAGTTTTACATTAGAAAGTTACAAGCAATGGACTTTAGACCCTATTTATTTTCTAGCCAACACATCAAACTATGGAAGACATTTACACCGCTGTTATAGAAACAGACAGAGGTGTTAAAGAAAAGGTCAGAATATTCGATCTAGGAATGCCTGTAAGTACTTAGTTTTTGGGTCTTAATAGATTCTTTTATAAATAATAAGGTGAAACTTCTCAGAAAATATACATGCTATCCAAATCTTTATTCTGTGCTCTTTGTTCTTAATGATATAATTTTATAGGCCTTTATGAGGCACTATTTAACATAAGAGACGTTGTTACTTTGATATATACTTTCAAACTATATTTTATTACCATTCTTAAATCTATCATTAGGCAAGGTTCATTCAAAGCTATTAAAACTTTTATATTCTCAGGATGGTAATGATGCAGAGTTGCCAAAACATTATCTCAGTTTCCCAGATGTAAGTATAATGTAAGCATCTAGTTGTGATGTTAGGCAGTAAGCTTTCATTCATTTTAGTATGTTCGTTAAATTTTTGCATTACAAAAAATTCTGCTACAGTCATTTCTGAATAATATATGCTAGCTTGCATAATTTTTTTCAGGGTTTTATTTTGGTTTATGATGTGACCAACTTTGATTCTTTTAAACGCCTTGACAAACTGAAGAAGGATATTGATAAGCACAAGGACAAAAGAGAGGTAACTATTTTAATTATCGCTCTACGGTAAATTTCAGCCAACTCTTCAGGGTTAGTTAATGTTTGCCACATTTTACATTGGCTGATACACTGCTGTATCTCCATTGAAATAGTTGTTTGAAAAACAATGTTTCAGTTTGCTCTCATTAAAAAAAAGTTCTTGTTGCATATCTGGAACCAATGCTAAGAGAATATGCAATTTGGGCCACCTTTGAAATTATTGCCCCTAATACCCTTCAAGGTTTAGTGCTATTCAGTTCAAAATACAAATAATAAAGTCATGAAAATTATTCAGGTGGAAAAACTCAAGCGCCACATTCCAAGGATCATCAAAATAACCTTACAAAACTGAGTAGCAAAGCAAAAACATGTTGTGCATTTTTAATGTAATATATACTTCTTATCCAAGATGTCAATGGTAAATAGTGACATGTTTTCTTAGTTAAAAAGCCCACCTCTCTACCAAACATTAGATGGTTTTGAAACAGGTCAATGCATTACATTTTTCAACTATATATATATATATATATATATATATATATATATATATATATATATATATATATATATATATTATATATTTATTACAATGAGATTAGCTATAATTTATTGATATATTATATTTTAGCAAAATATCTGTTATAAAAAAAACATGTTTTTAATATATATATATATATTATATATTTATTACAATGAGATTAGCTATAATTTATTGATATATTATATTTTAGCAAAATATCTGTTATAAAAAAAACATGTTTTTCCACTGCTAAAAAATGTAGTATTTATGACAGAAATCTTACAAATTTGAAGTCAATAGCTGTTTCAAGGGAAATATTTCATGTTAATTTATTAAAATGAATGTTTGTTTTTACTTATGACTTACTTTTGTTTTGCACTTTTTTCCTTTATATCATGTTTGACAGGTTATTGCTGTTTCAAATGTAGATCATTAGGAATTAAAGTTTAACTTAAATTATAGCTTTTTTGCATTCCCGCTGTCCTCCTCCGATACCACATAAGGAGATGCTTCAGTCATCTCATGGTACATAGCCCTAGTTCAAATTCCCGGAATTGAAAAATGATTAAGAAATTAGCACAAATCTTCAAAGATCAAAGTTCAAAGACATAGAAGGGAGTTAACAGAAGAATGGTACTCTGATGAGAAAAAGTTAACAGAATGGTACTCTGCTATTTACTCTCCTCAAACTTATGTATGGATAAATTTTAAAAACCTAAAAAATGTTATGACTCATGTTATAACTACGGTAATGCAGTAACCACATTAATATGACAAATTTGAAGTCCTTTTTAAAGAATGTCAAGGCCATTTGGGAAGCTACCTTAATATTTGAAATTATTTAAAGTGTTTTAAATATTAATTGAAGTTGAAGGCTGAAAGATTTGTGTACTCGGCACAATTAAATATTTGACACATAGCTTGAAGGAAGCTTTATTCTGTAATATAATTTACCTTTTAAAAACTCTTAATTTCAGGGTCATGTGATTGTGATTGGTAATAAAAGTGAACTTAATGATAGGAGGCAAGTCCAGTTTGACACAGCCATGGCCTGGACTGTTAAAGAGAAAAGTAAGTTAAGAACTTATGGAGCAGCTTATTTGGCAGCTGGCTAGTTGACATAGCTATTCTCAAGTTTTAACTCCCCTTGAGTGTTCCAGAGTTATAGAAAAAACAGTGTATAGTTTAACTGTATTTGAATAAAGGAAGGAAAGACAAATATAGAGCTAATTTCTCTGAAGGAATATTTTGATAATAGTGTTTTCCATATATCTGTGGTTCACACCCTTGACCTTGCATGCATTTTTAATGCAAGGGATTTATTATTAACATGAGGTCTTCATTAAAAAAAAAATAGGCACACCATTGAACACTCAAACTTAACTGATATTTTTAAAGACAAATTTCATTTAAATTTTAAAAAAATCAAATTTAAAAATCTTTAGGTCTTGGCCTTTTTAATTATTTTAATATACATTAAAATGTTCTTTAAATTTCTTTATTAGACATTGGATTTTGTTGCCTACTAATAATACTGTTTTTTAATAAGCTCTAGGCTAATGATCCTTCCTTAACAATGTAGTATATATATACATATATGACTATGAAATATTCATATATCCTGTAGTGCGTCTCTGGGAGGTTACAGTAAGCAACAGGAAGTCACTAGTTGACCCATTTGTGTGGCTGACTTCTAAGATAACACAACCAACAGGTAAAGTAAATCATTTTCATTTTTTGTTAGAAGACTTAAAATTTAAGATTTATGATGTTATATAGAATACATGCACAAAGCGTTATGATTCAGTATTTTTTTGTGACAAACATAATTGTGTTTCTTTTTTCAGGGAAAAGCAATTTCTTACCAGGGAGGAAAACAAAATCTTCCAGCAGCAGCAACTTAGACAAGAACTGATTCATGTTAAGATGACAATAAAATTAGAGAAGTCAAAAAAAAAAATCAATTTGCTATATCACTTATCAGCTTGAATTATTGAATGCAGGACCCTAATGTGAAGCAATGGACTGTTTCTCTGATAATTGGGCTATAATATAAGGAGATGCAAAATAACAAATTTCAACTGGTTTGTCATGGAATAATAGACAGATTATGATAAGTAAAAAAAAAATGGTTTTCAAATAAAATGGATTCATAATATCACAATACGACAATGGACTGTATGGTGGTCATGTCTATTGTCAAAATGCCAACACTGACCAGCATGATGATTTGAAGCTGTTGCATTTGTTGAAAGGATTATTACATTACTTTTATTAAAGCAGCTGGCCTTTTCCTCTTCTTGAAACCATTATGCCTAGCTGTTTTTGAAAATGTTTGCTGAGATCAGTAGATTGATCTAATGTAAATCTTGTGCCCAGGATGAAAAGTTACACTAAATGTGCTAAATGTATGGGCATTGGAGTTTCAACTCATTAAATAGATTCATTCATATGAGGTATATTTGCACTAAAATAAAGTATAAAAGATAGAACTTATTTTATCATTTGGGCACAAAATGTTCATTTTTGCAAGTCCCATAACATTTGCTTTGTAGTTTATCAAAGGAGTTATAACACTTTGATAACTGCCTTTAACTTTTACTACAAATTTATTCATTTCAAACTTTTATTTAAAGTTTGAAATGTTCTTTTAAATTTGAATGAATGCATATTGTATGAGTCTGATTAATAAAATTCATAGAATTTGACATTTTGTAGAAATCAAATATTAATACACAATTCACTTTGGCATGTGCAATTTCTGTTTGGTCAGTTGTGAATTATTGTTATCAAACTTTGAAACAAATGTTCAGTTCTAAGGCATTGTAACTGATTCCATTACAACAGACAGAGTCATAATTAAGACAACAAGCAGAGCAGGTTTATGGATTAATTGAACTATTGATTAATGTGGTTAGCTTATGCATCATGTAGAGGGGTAGTATATTTGGCGGCCCAACAATTTGGAACGCACTTCCAGTCGCTCTCAGAAACAGCCAGACACTGGAGTCCTTTAAAACCGATTTAAAAACACATCCATTTCGCAAATACCTTCTGGGGTGATGCCATCTACCATCTTTTTCAGTTAATGTATATTGGCTTGTGTTGCTTATGGTTGAAACGGGATGAAAGACTTTGACTGGGTATGCTCGTATGTAGCTTTATAGTGTTGCGTCTGTTTTTAAATGTGGTAAATTTTAGAGTGTTTTTATTTCCCTTTTTAATATGGTTGACTTTGTACAGCGCTTCGAGCTTTTGGGGATGAAGCGTGTTTTTCAAATAAACTTTATTATTATTATTATGTGCATGGGGAATCCCAAATGTGTCAAGTACATACAGAATAATCCAAGTCATTAAGGGCAAATAATTTTTAAAACATTATTTCCTTATGTAATAAATTTTTAAATTCTATGTAATGTAATAATATATTTTCACATTGCTTGATTAATGTATGCAAGTTTGTCTGGTAATGATTGTCTACTGTAATATAGATAATTAAATACTATATTGCCTGGGAATAGTAGGTAGCAGGATGTAAGTTCAGAAAACTTGGCAACATTTAAGATTTATTTTAGAATGATTACCTGCATCTGTTGAAGATTTGATTATTAAACTTAAGCAATAATAATTATATTTTTGGCATATTATTATGCTAATCAAATTTAACCAAGGCCATACAGTCACTTATATGACTGAAAATTGCTTAAAAAATTAACAAATATTGTTTATATAAATTACACAAGATTTTACTATTTGATATACACTGTTACAAGCCAAAAATGTTGGCAGTGAAGCATTGTTGACCTGTCCAGAGAGCATTTGTAAAATATAAAGAAACAAGACCTCTTCTCTGCTTCAAACCATTTCCATTACATAACTTAAGTACTCATTGCATACTAAGATTCCAGTGGCATAACCAGGAATTAATTCTTTTAAAGGGGGGGGGGGGGGGGATCAAGGGGACCCCAATGAAAATGGGGGGGAAGGGTCTGAGGAGGGGACTCTAAGCCATAAATAGAGATTTGTTTGACAACTTATTAATGATAATTCTTAATTTAGTGTAGCTTAATAGTTTAGTGTAATTTAAAATTACTGTGTTAACTGATGAAACACTGAAATTAGCAAGGTCATTATGAAAGATCAAAATTTAATATCAGGCAGGCAAATTTTGGCTTACAATGGCAATGTAGGTCAATTTAAAAAACCCAACTTTTTGTGATCTTTCTGCGATTTTTATGTAACATCATTTAACTTTTAAGCATCAAAAGGGCTAAAACTGTTTATTTTAAAGAGTAAATTTACCATTAGATGTTATGCAAAATAATATTGATTTTCAGCTCTTTTCAATTAACTTACCAATAAAGGCCTTTATTTTATGTTTATTTTTATTATGCTATTTAGTTTGATTTATTTAGTAAGTCATTCAGAGATTTCTGTATCATCAAGAAAAGAAAAGCCCATAAAATGTAAAGCAACAAAAAAAGGCCCAAATCCAATTATATAACTGAACATTTTATTTAGAGGATGAGCAAATTCAAATAAATGATATTAAGAAATGAATAAACAACTGAAATATTACTAAATCATAGTTTATTGGCTATTCTGGTGAAATCTTCAGGACCTGTAATAAATAACTGATTATATAATATAAAGTAACAAGTTTTAATAAATTTTCTTAATACATATTTTCCAAACAGAGCAAATGGCAAAACAAAACAAAAATTAAATTGGCACATAACATAGATTAACAGTGCCATGTGATGATATCAATATATGGGAAATAGACATCTCAAATATTATATAGGGTTCAATAAATTTTTAAATTTTTTTTTTAAGTTGGGTTTAGAGACCCTCATGGTCAAGATTTCATGATCAGTTGATTTGATGCAACAGAATTTTTGGGGGTAAATCTGAATTTGGAAAGCTTTTTTTTTAAAATCAAAATGGCTTCATTAATTTAACTTGGCAGCACAAGAAATAATAAAACATTTTTTTTCTTCTTAAAATATTTAAGTGGACTCACCAAAGAGCTTAAGTTTGCATGGGACCACATGCCACTTTCGAAAAATAGCTTAGTTAACTTATTACACACACAGATATTAAATTTAATGCTTTTATATAAGTATAGAACAAATAATTAATGGAAAAAAATGAATTTTAATATAACAAATATATTTCTATTAGAATGTGATGGGCAAATCGGAAGCTTCAGAATAAAATTTTTAATATTATGCTTAAAATGTTGTAACCTATATACTCAATGCTTCAAAGATTAAATTTTTCAATTGTAAATGAAAGTTCAGTCATTGTCAACTGCTAATAGTTTTAACAGGATTAATCATCTTGAATCTGGGTTTAATCAATTTATTCCTGATTTATTGTTTTTAAAAGGATAAATTGCAACTGCTTGAGCAGTTTTCCCTGCACCCATCTCCAGATAGGCAGCTAACCCGACAGGTCAGAGATCCCTAACTCATGTGATCCAATCACTAACAGTTAACAGTTTTTTAAGAATGCATGGTGAACAGACTTGGCTCTTTATGGTTGTGACTTGGCTCTTTATGGTTGTGAATTCAGGGTTTGTTGATAACAGCTTCTGTAAACTGCATTTTGCAGAGCATCGGGAGGAACATCAGCATATCTATGAGTTCTGGCAAACATTTTGAAACAATGTTTTTGCTTTGTGTTCAGAGTTTAGCCAATAAAAGTTGAGTTTTGTTTATCCCTGGGAAGCCATCATCAAAGGCTGCATACAGAACATCCTCCAATGTGTGGACAAATATGAATGTCATTTCTTTCTGTACACAGGAGAAGAGAAATATATATGACTCAATAACATATTTTATTTCAATAACTCTTATTTCTCAGTCAAGTTAGTCTATAAAATAATTTTTTTAAGAAAATGATTTCCCTCAAACTCTCTATAATTTTTACTTCCTTAGCTGCTCTTCATTTAGAATTGGCTGCTTGTCTAATAGATCTGTTCCTTTTTATTATGTCCTGTAGTGAACGAAGGAACCTGCCATCCAACATTAGTTCCTTCATTTAAATTGAGTGTTTATCCATCTGTCGTCTTGACATCACAAAACTTAATTACACCTATACTTTTAACTGCCAGAGGACCTAGCAGACATTTTTTTTTTTAAAAGCCAGCTGAACAGTGCAATATTATAGATAATGAAAAACTTACACGGATGTTGTCCGGAATTTCAAGCAGATCTTTCCTGTTTCTCTGTGGCAGAATCACACGGAATATTCCGGCCCTGTGAGCTGCTAACATCTTTTCTTTTATGCCGCCAACCTTGACAAAATGGACACAAACATTTTTCACTTACATATCAATCTCACATGCACCCCTTAAAATGTCATCATTGTCTCTTTTTGTTTCAACAGTGTAATAGCTTAATATGTGTAAATATTTCATTTTTTTTTGTTTGGAAATCACATTCCAATGCTTACATACCTGATACGCAGAACACTACAGGTAAAATTTCATACACAGTTTAGTCTAAAAAGGGCTTGCAATGTGTCAAAATTAAGTGTGTTCTTGCTTACTAAAAAGTTTAAGTGTATCAAGAAATTTAATTTGTACAGAAATTGGGTACTAAAAAAAAAATTATTAGGCTTTAAACATTTTGTGTTTTTAATTAGTTAATGGGTTAACTACAGTAGCCTTATGAATGTAGTTAATAATTCAATCTCCAATAATAAATTGTGTTACTAAAAGTAATATAAACTTAAAGCAAAACAAAGCAGAAGATTAAGTAAAATTATTAATCACAAGAAGGAATTATCTTCACAAACTTTTCACATTTCTTACAAAGCTTAAAAAACATATTTAAAAAAAAAAAAGACTCACTGGAAGTACAAGTCCTCTAAGGGTTATCTCTCCAGTCATTGCTGTATCTGACCGCACACATCTATCACTGAACAGAGACGCAAGAACAGTTGCTATGGTCACACCAGCCGATGGACCATCCTTTCCAACAGCACCAGCAGGAAAATGGATATGGATGTCAGTATTTTTCAGCAAATCTTTGGTACTTTCCAATTGAAGCTTTCATATCAACAACAAAAAATTGACAAAATAAGTAAGTACATTTATAATCTTTAAAATTGGATACTTAAAACGTGTTTATTTTTTTTATCACTTTTAATAAGCAATTTTCAAATTAAGTGAATAAGATCTGATGTATATTTTTGATTGTCAAGACAGATCAGCTGTAATTAGCCAAAAAGATCATCAAGAGCTTAACAATTTTTCCTTAAACCATTGGTCTATTAAATGGAATCACCAAAATTCAATTTATATTCCTCTGTGTTCATTCTTCCATTCCTCTGTGTTAATTCTTCCATTCCTCTGTGTTAATTTTTCCATCATTCTTTCTTTTGCTGGCTGATGAAGTCTTGTCCTGCACAACACTTGCTCTATCTGTTTTTACTAAAGATGCATCCAACAACAAGAAATTTTTTCTTATTTATCTAACTTCAGTGCAGCCCTACTGCCTGCTTATTGTAACATACCAAAATATGGTATTCAAAATAAATTCAGCGTGAAAGTCTTTGGCAGACTCTTTTCACTTTGCAAGACTTTTAGTATGCAGCCTTTTGAAATATACTCTTTCCAAAAGAAATGTACAAACCTTTTTGGTGTTTGCTCTCACCCAGTTAAGAGCAAGTGAAGCCGACTCTTTCATAACATCTCCCAGTTGCCCTGTCATTGTTATCTTTCCTTCTCCTGCCATGCGGGTTGCCTCAACAAACATTATCTCCCCTCCCATGGCAGTCCATGCCAGGCCTACAGCTACACCTGGCTGTGACAAGCGCTCAGACATTTCTTGTTGAAAGATAACTGGCTACAAAAGTGGGAATGCAAAGTTTGGAAACAGGCATGAGTAAAGGGAGATTATATGATAAATATGGCATAATAATTTCTTTACCTCCCGCTGACAACATTTAAATTAGGTCTTAGAATGCAGGTTAAATTATTAATTATTCTCTTTCTTTTTACAACATAAATAACAAGAAAACCAAAAGCGTAGGTACCAATTCTCTTTTAAAACACACAAAAGGGTGGACCTTAAAATCATACAAATCGTTTCTGAAAAGCAGTAATATGACATGTTCTAAAACTTATATATGAACAATACCCCCCCCATCAATTAAAGTGCATTTTTTTTAAAGGATTATTAAAGTAAAATTCTTAGGCTTTACCAGGCTTGCAAGACAAAGTTAGAAAACAAAATCCAGAAATTAAGACAATATGTTTCACAATACAGCATACAAAATAACAGGTCTTAATGATTTGATCATCATCATAATCCTGAACCTGCAACTACTTGGGCTCACTCCCCACAGCTGTTCTTTGGGAGTCAGTTTAGTCTTGTATTTTTTGTAGATCATTAAAGTGTGAGCACTGTCTGTAATGTATAGATTTCTGGACAGTGAAAGAGGTGATGTGTTACTGTCTCTTTATGGCTTAAAATTATGATAATAAGTTTAAACTCACCCCAAGAATATCTTCTACTGCAACCTCATCAATCACAATAGGCATCTCTGGTGGGTGGACAATGGCTGACATGTCTTTGATTTCTTCCATTGCTTTTCCTTTCTTCTTGTCTTCCTCTTTCAAACCCCCCATCTTGTGATCTTTGCTGCTGCGTGATCCCAGCACTTTGACAGCAACAGCTCGGCAAATGGCTGCGATTCTACGCTCCAGTGTACGGACTCCAGCTTCCCTGGTGTAACTTGCAACTAACAAAGCAGGTTGAAAGAGTAAATTAAGGAACAGAAATAAATTGGATATATATTTTTTTTTTCCCCACAAAATACAGTGTGTAAGGAAATAATTGGGTTACATTAAAATTGACAAAGTTAGAAATAACTTACTGATAATTCTTAAAGTGTCATCCGGAATCTGC